ACATATGTAATAGCAGTGTTTGAATTTCTAAAGTACTTGTGTTGCATACAGCTGATGCTAGCTGTGTTACCAGAAGAAAAGAAAGTAGCACAAGATAGGTCTTTTAACATGTAGAAAAACTGTATGAAGATCATGTTTTGTAGATGGGAAGATAGACTTAAAGCAAATACTAGTTTTGGATATCAGAATGTGGTGTGGATCTAAACTGGATTGATTTTTGCTGATGTCAGTTAAAAAACTTTGAGCAGAATTAGAAGGGCCTTTTCAGTCCTCAGAGACATCATTTGCTGTGACTGCAAGGTGTATTTGAAGTCAAATCCTGAAACAGTGGGTGTAACTCTTTTGGGTTTTGAAGTAATGATAAACAGCTAGCTGACAACTGCTTCTTTTGTTTTGTTACAGTATTTGTGGAATCATCCCAGGATTAAGTAGCATCTTTCTGCCACGAATGAACCCTTTTGTCTTGATTGATATTGCTGGAGCTTTAGCTCTTTGCATTACATATATGCTCATTGAAATCAAGTACGTACAGTTGTTTAAAAAAATTATCTATTTTTGTATACAGTGTATAGAAAATTGGATTTTTTTTACATGAAAGGAATGGTCTCATCCAAAGCTGTATTTTGTATGAATGGGATTGCAGCTCCATGAATACATTAATCTTTTTCAAAGCTGTATAGTTCAGATGAGATTAGTATATGTAATATTCTGTGTGTATATAATTTAAAGGAATGAAAAAGAATCAAAAGACAATTCTTATGCCTTTCAAAAACATAAATATGTGTTTTTCTTTAAAATTGCTCTTTCTAGCAATTATTTTGCTGTAGACACAGCCTCTGCTATAGCAATTGCTTTGATGACATTTGGTACCATGTATCCCATGAGTGTCTACAGTGGAAAAGTACTGCTTCAGGTAAGGCCATATCACAAAACAAGTTAACAACATGTTAAATGTCCTTATTTTTTAAAAAAACAGAAAATCTATTTAAAGCTTTTGAGAAGGAAGTGTTCCCAGGGGAATTTGTGATGTGATAAGAAGTTTAAGGGCAGTAGAAATATGCATCATGAAGTAATAAGAATGTATTGTTTAATGCTATTAGTCTCCTGTGTAGATAGAGCAGTCTTAAAGGCTCTGTTGCTTAATTTTTACTATAACTTTTTCCTTCTTTTTTTTTTTTTAAATTCTTTTTTTAAAGACAACTCCACCTCATGTGATTGGCCAGTTAGATAAACTTCTTAGAGAGGTAAGTCAGTGTATAATACATAATATAATGTGCACAGCTAACAGTCACTAAGCATTCAGGAATATGAAGAGTTTTTGTTAGCAGTCTGAGGTGATTGCTAAAGAATTACTTTTTTAATATTATTTTTTAACTGCATGTAGAAAACGTGGATCTTGCTGAGTAGTGTTATTCAGGTATCTGGAACAAAACTGTTAAAGTAGCGCGGGCTGTTGTTTTAATTAACCAAATTTGAGCTACTGTTGAAGTGTTTTACACATATTGAGTGGGGAGAAGAAAAGGAATACAGGCAGCTGTTGACTCACAGCATATCGAGTTGAGAAAATACTGCAATTTGGCATCAAGAGTTACTTGAAGTGAGTTACTTAAATAACTTTTTGGATGGATTTGGATGTTTAAGGGTAGCAAAAGTGTAGTACATAAGAATTAGTGGCATCATTAATAGACACTGTCCTGTGTTTGGAAGCTTTATTTTACCACTGAAAATGCTGTATTATTCAGCTATGTGTAAAAGTACATTTCTAAAACGATTTGAAACATTGCTGATTTATTTTCATATTTCTGGATGTTTGTTTAAAATTAGGTTTCAACTTTGGATGGTGTCTTGGAAGTTCGAAATGAGCATTTCTGGACATTAGGTTTTGGTACTTTGGTAAGTTATGTCTATTGTCTTTTAGCCTTTAGAAAACAGTTGTCAGTTACTACTTAAATTTTTTTATTTGAATGAAGTATTTCTTCTGAAATCTTAAATATAAAAAATGATGGAGTCAGTACTCAGTCCTTGTGATTTATTGCAAAACGTCTCTTCCCTTGTCATAGATATTTTTTTAAAGCTTTGTTATTGGCTAATATTTATGTATACTGCAGCTCTGGATTAAAGCATGCATTTTGCAGCTGTAGAATTTCTTTTTTATTTTGGCAGTGAAGAAACCCCCAGTTTTCTTCTGTCTGAAAAGATGTTTTTTGAATAGTGTATTCATGTAGATTATCTCAGAGGGGAGAAAAATAAAACTGTAAACTATCAGGTACCAAAGGTCTACAGCAGAATCATGTTTTCAGCATTTCTGGGAAGAGGGTGGAAAAACACAGCTACCATTGTGTACTGATGTTCTGTCACTGAAAGAAGTGAAGGGGTTTTTGTGATACAGAATGATCACACAGAACTCAGTGATTCCTAAGTTGATGCAGGTATGTTGAGACAGCTGGAAAATTAAGACTCAGAATTATTCTCTACTTCTGAGTTCCTCCAGTATGCTACCCTTCATAAAAAAAAAAAAAAAGGAAAAAGGCAGCAGCTCTGACATGCTGATGTGAAGATAGCTTTCAGTTTACTATTCTGCCATCCAAAATACTCAATCACAGCGTTATTGGATTGATTGCAGATATTTAGAAAACCTTTGGAAGCAAGTTTACGTTTATTGGCATCTTCCAGATTGTAGTAGAAACTTCCTGAGACCTGGGTATGTCTTCAGCTGCACTGTCTGATGTAAAAATGGTTTATATAGCACAAGCTGTGAGCCATATTCTTTACTAAATAGGGAATGAAAAAGCCTGTGAGGTGTTCTTGTTTGTGTCCTGTTCCCTTCTGCAGCAGTAGTTGATGGTAAATGAGATGGTCTTACTGAGAGGAGGGCAGGGACAGCCCACGCTTATACGCGTGTCCAGGAGAAACTCTTAGTCAGAGTTCCACAAGGGGCATTGCCTCTGTTCTTGCTAATGGTGCCCCTTTGAGTGTGTCTGCCATGCGTGTTGTCCTCTTGCTTGCGCCAGCAGCACTGTGATGACACTTTTCCCTAAACTTGGCATATAGAGTTTCTGCACTTTGTTGTTCTTTTGGGCCACTTTTTTCCCTGCCATCATATTTTGTATTTTATAGTTTGGTTTTAAGACTCACTTTTTCTGAATGATGATCTTGATATGTTCATAAGAGATCAACGTGTTGGGAAAGATCTATGCGTATCCTAATTATGGAATTACTCAATAAGTTTCTCAATTTAGTCAGTGGTCTCCACTGCGGAAGGTCTTTGCGTAATTCTCTGCAGGATAACTGATTTCTTCTTGACTGCATATGGATAATCTTTATCAGAGTAACAGTTAACAGCCAACTTATTTTTATCGCTTTCTAGGCTGGATCAGTACATGTCCGAATTCGGAGAGATGCAAATGAACAAATGGTACTTGCCCATGTCACTAACAGATTATACACATTGGTCTCTACCTTGACTGTTCAGATTTTCAAAGATGACTGGATCAGACCTACCTTATCATCTGTGCCTATTGCAAACAATATTCTGACCCTTTCGGATCATCATATTATTCCAATGCCATCTTTGAAAGCTGCTGATAATTTGAACCCTGTTACATCCACTCCAGCTAAGCCCAGCAGCCCACCGCCAGAATTTTCTTTTAATACACCAGGCAAAAATGTGAGTCCAGTCATCCTTTTAAACACCCAGACGAGGCCCTATGGATTGGGTTTTAATCATGGATCTGCACCCTACAGCAGTGTACTCAATCAAGGATTTGGAATACCAGGAATGGGAGCAACTCAAGGATTCAGAACTGGTTTTACAAATGTCCCAAGCAGATACGGAACAAACGCTCGTGGTCAGCCCCGACCATAATAAACACTGTTATTTATTGTACTTAAGGGTATTGACTTAATTCATTTATTACCCAATTTTTATAAACATTTGGAATGTCAGATCATTCTAAATGGCTGGGAACAAGTGCATTGTTCATATTCATGAAATGGTTAAATTGCAATTTTTTTTCTTTGCCTCAGCATTAGCCTGTATAATACCACAAGTATTTTCCAGATTTACAATACTTTACAGGTAGTTTTTATAGAGTATCTATTTCTATTAAACTTTTTATTCACTTTTCTTTGTTTTCCCAAGAATGTATTGAGATATAGCACAACTCCATGAGAAAGTAAAATTCCGACCAGGTAGCATTTTTTTTTTCTAATGAGAATTGCTTACTGAATGCTGAATAGATGAGAGAATAGGAAATTGCAGAAATCAAGTCCCAGTTTTTAGAGATGTTTTGATTGCTGTATTAAGCTATCTTTTGGCAAAGTCACAATTAGGTTTTGGTTGCAAAAATCCATCAATATTCATGTTGTGGCCGTTGTGAAGACAATCTGGCATTTCAGATTCTAATTAATTTTGTGAGACACTGTTTTTACATTTTGATGCTTTTATAGAAATTCAGGTGGTTCAGCAACCATTTTCTAGTTGTAAATATTCCATATTCATCTTCCTTTTTGGTTGAACTGCGAAATTATTTAGCAATATACTGGGAAATAAAATATTTCAAACTTAAGATTTTACAAGCACCTCTTTTTTACGATTAACCCTATTTAAGATACAGAGCAGATGGCTGTATTGTTTCTGAAGCCAGTATTTCATTTTTGACTATGGAAAGTATTCTCTGATTCGATTGTGACTTTGTATTTTTCCTCTTTGTATTTTTTCTGTAGTTTCAGGGGAAAAAGTATCTATTTATATTCCTAGTTTATATCCAGAGCACAGGTCAGTGGTCGCTGACAGTTCTTAATCATTGCTAGAGTGCTCAGCCTTTGGGGCACGCTTTGAACAAGACAGCTGAACTCTCTGCTTTTGCATTATCGTTCTGTGTACATCTAGAAGGCCGAATTTCTTCATGGCCTCTCTCAGAGAGCTCTTTCCTCTGACTGCTGTTTTTCTTCACTGCTCTGATAACAGTAAAAGGCCTTCTAGAAAGACTTTTTTTTTTTTTCCTCCTGTGCAGTATGTATCTTATCATTCCCTAGCCAATACCTTCTCTGCACTTTGTTCTGCATCTGGTGGCTGTTGAGGAATGGGTTGCCTATTCCTGTTGTTTCACTTGCAACTCAGGGTGCTATATATTGGCGTCCACCTTGTTAATCTGTATACTAAGTGTCTCCATTTGTCCAAGGTGGTTATATGGAGCTGTAGTATCTCAGGGACTCCAAAGATGATATGTTACCTAAAGAGTAATGGGTTTGATAGTGAAATCTTTCTCTTGTAGAACTGAGTTGAGAAAACGGCCTTCATTTGAATTTTAAAGATCTTTGGCCTCTTCACACTGGTTGAGTATTTCTTTTTCTGCATAAGGACATTGCTTTCTTCTTTTTTTCCCTCCCTCTTCCTCCACCACCTGTGTTTCTCGCTGCAATGCATGGAGGAGGGTGTCACTCTTGCAAACAAAGCCAGGTGACATTCTGCCTGATGGTTTCTTGCTGGGATGTTTTAGGCTGAGGGTAGTGACCAGGCTGCCACTGGTATACAGTCCATGTAAGCTACAAGTAGAGAATCTAGTTCTGTACTTCATTTGCAGCAAGAGTAACAGTTTCATTGCTGTGTTAGAAAATGTAATGACCTGGAAAACTTGCCTTTAAAGATTCCAATTAACTTAGAACCATTGTCTGGTTTCTATGAGGTCAGTATTACCTCAGTAATCACCTTTGTTTCATGACTCCGTCTTTATGTGTAGTCTATCACACATGACATTGCTGCGTGGAAATTCACTGAAGTACAGAACACTTGAACAGATTCTCTGTACCTCTTGGGTGCTGAACTAGACTGCACTCTACAGCATCTGCAAGACCTTAGAGCCAGCAGAATGTTTACAATATACTACTCTCATGTGGCCTGTATAAGAATTGTTCCTTACTCGAGTTTCATAACCAAACATTTGCCCTTTTTCTGACATTTTAAATATGTTGTATTATATTGATTGCATGCCTGTTTGTTTTTAGTAGAAAATTAAAGCTCCATTTTATTGAAAAATGAAGCTGATATTTGATTTAAAAGGAGAAGGGAGAATGAGAATCCCAGAATTCTGAGTGCAATATAAAATCACTTTAACAGAATTATTTTTTCGAGTGATTGTTTACAATATATAACATATGTGCAGATGATAAAGATTCTTTTAGAGATTAGAACAGCTTTTTAGCTGCTTTATTGTTATGGATATATTAAGAATATTTGTTAAATCAGCACAGAGTAAAATGTCATCTTTTATACGAGGAAAATAAAATCAGTGTCATCCTTAAATGACAAGGAAAAAGTGGTAATTTGTGTACAAAATTTTGTAGTTATCTTTTTATATATATTGATTAAGCGATGCTCTTGGCTTCAGTCTCAGTGAGCAGATGTGTGAAACTTCAGAACTGCTTTGCTGGGTCTGCTACCAGTGTAGACTGGGTCCTTGTAATAATTCTACAGAAAGCATTTTTATTGCATTTTGTCTTTTCTAATTGTATTTTACTGTTAGGTGGTCACGATCTAAATGTTTATTTGAAATGTGGTGAATAAGAATGCTAATTTATATCATCTTCGTTCCTAGTGATAGGAATGCTGCCTCAGCTAGAGAAAAAAAGAGGGCTGGTACTTGCTATCATTTCTGTTTACCAGAGGATTTGACATTGTTACTCCCTTATCTTATTCCAACTGTGATTGCATAGGATCACTTCACTTGTAGGTAAACGCTTCAAGCTTTACAGAATTTGAGGGCATGTACCATTAACTTAGGCTTAAGATTCTTGTGAAAATCTGCATTATCCTGATACAAAAGGAGCTAGAGCATCTACTAAAATACAAATAACTAATATGCGGTATTTTTGCAGCTTTACCTGTTGAGTAATGGCTCTTTGAGTTCATTCTGTTCTGTGTTTCCTTTATCCAGCTAATAACCACACACACCTTTGGGAAGACAAGCCATTCTCTTGTGGGTAGACTTTAATTTTTTTCAACCCCCTTGACTGAGATGTGACAAATCCTATTCAAGGAAAGAACCTGTGCAGCAATTCTGCTGATATATGTAATTATGAGGTTAGTTGAAGTCCCTCAGTTGATTTCTGTCCCCTTGCTGCCACCATCCAACAGGGACAGAGAAACTGTCTGGGGATAGTTTCTTTAACACAAAGCCTGTGTCTGAATTGTGAAGTGATGGTACTGTGAATGTCCAGATCCTATGGATCTGGATACTTAGTGATATTCAGTGTTGAAACTGAGAGTGGAAGATACACCAGTCCTGGTCTTTTCACTTGTATTTTTTGTTTTCTGGGTGTTTATCAAACAGCTAGACTGACATCCTTGTTCTCCTCTGCCTTAGTAGTAGTGAGAATTCACCTTACACCATGTCTTTGCTTTACTGACTGCTTCAGGTTCTTGTGCTTTTGGGGGAAATTCATGTGGTTACTGGGTTGATGTAAGTTTTGCTTACAGCAGTTATTTTTTTTCCAAGTGAATGACAGATCATATAAATTGCTAAGATGATGATCCCTCTCCTTAAGTAAACCCTTTCCAGGGCTCACATCCAGCTAAGAGATGGCCCTCTTTTCCTGTACCAAAAAAACCCAACCCCAAAACCCAAAGTAAAAGAAAAAAAACAAGCCTCTTCATGTTTTCTTCATGTTTTGAGAACCATTGAATCATACTACATCAATGTACGTATCATTTCTTTGAGCTGAGTAAACATAAGAGAACTGCATGCTCAGACAGCGAGAAGTTGGCGACAAAATTGATATGCCAGATATTTGGTGTACTACATGGCTAAGTTATGGTTTCAACTAACTAATACAGATTTTAAAAAATAGGCTTTTCCCAGTTATAACAACCTACTGATCCCACATTTTATAATGAAGCCTATTTTAAGTTAACTTTCAAATTCTTGAAGAAGCAGAGTAGCAGTGAACACTGCAAATGCATAATGCATTTTTTAAAGGCCCTGCAAAGTATGAAATATCGTAAGAGTTCACCTGTAAAAACAAATTAGCCACACAAACTCAAGTTTAATACTTCTGTATATAGCCATTTTGTTATCTTTTTTCACCACTTAGAAGGTTGCAGTAGGTGCCTTACACTGCTCAGAGTATTCAAACCTCAGAAGATTTAATTTAGTTGTTTAGCATGTTTTCTGATGGGCTGAAGTAGAGGAGAATATGACAGAATTCAAATAGTTTTGATGTAATTACACAGATGTACAGTAATATCTGAAAATAAACACTCATCCAGTTTTTAGTATTTGTGTTGTATTCTATTTCAGAAGTTGCATGCAAAATAGAAAAATTTCTTTAAAATGTTAAAGTGATGGGAAAACAAAATGCTTTCATTCCATCTTGAGCAACAAAACTAGATTGAATTTCATTTTCGGGCTGTCCTGTAATAGTAAAATTTTACTTTGCATTGCTGTAAATATTTCTATTGTGACTTTAAGATACATATGTAAATACTGTCTTAAGTTCAGAAATGTTTGCTTTAGGAAAATGGTAAAATACAGGCCAGATCTGACATGCCTACAACTTCATAGCTTATTTCCTTTTTAAATCTCTGCCCAGGATAGAACTTTCTAATGGAAGAGGTTTGGAGCAGTAGAATACTGACTTGTTTTTTCCCAGTTCACCTACCAGCTTGATTTTGATTTTTGGTTTTTTTTTGGTTTGGTTTGTTTTGTTGTTTTTTTTTTTTTCAAATGCTGCTCTTTTTCTCACCAGTAGAAACCATAATTCTGTAGGTAGCTTCTGAATACTGTTCTGGCTTCTCCTGTTGATTTCATTCCAGGCTAGGTTTTTGCCAGAGTATTATACTAAATTTATTGAATATTTCCAGTAAGGAATATAAAAACACAGGGTTGTTAAACTGGTATCTTTTTCTGATATAGGCTATGGTTTGTCTTTTACTTTTTGGTGCTTAAACTGTCTTCTTGCTTCTGACTCTTGATACTTATTTTACTTGATAGATAGCACTTTACCATTAAAATGATATAAAACTATGATTTCTAAAGTGATCACTCCTAGTATGATTACTTCTGATGTAATCTGTATTAAAAACAGCAGGTATCTTTATTTTGGGCCAAACTGCGAATGAATGGTGTGTGCTGGGGCGTTGCTCCCACACACCACTTACTCTTCTCTTTATATGTCCCATATTGCAGTCAAACCATGATGGAAACCCCCACGTACTTTCCTCTTAACATCACTTCCCACCACCCTTCACCATCAGAAAGTATTCTACAAACAACAGGGAGAAAATTGACTTTAAGTTATTTCTCTTGCTTCCTGGTGTCCTGCTGTCTGGGGAGAAGAGTCCTTGCAGCCCTCCTTGTACAGAAAGGAGGAGACGGAGCAAAGGATTAAAAAGCCCTTCTGTGTGTCAGGAGTTCTAGCAGTTTATTTCAGGATGAGGTGGTTTAGCTCAAAGTGGAGGTTTGTTTTAGTGTGATTTTTGCCTCTTTCCATAATGTAGTATAAATATCCATTGCTGAAAGTTGGTCATACCTTTTAAAATAATGCTAACACTTAAGTTGGAAGGCATTCCCTCCTGGGATCTTAATATGTGACATAAACCAGTGATAACAATCTGGAAAAATTCTGGGGTTTTTTTATTCAGATGTAAGACATGGAAAGATCAAACTCTTTCCAGGCTCAAACTAATTCTTATTTAATGTTCTCTTATTTGGCTACATGGAACATTGGGCCAGGAATAGCTGAATCAGTAACCAGTCTAGCAAGAGCTATCGTATTTTGCTTGCTTTAGTGCTCTCCTATGCAATTAAATAGAAAATGTGAAGGTAGGCAAACAGTATTTAGAATGGAGTATGATTTGTTGCCATTTTGTCTATCACAGGTTTAGATATTCCAGTACAAACACTTGCAGGATTTTGCTGAGGTTGTCGATAGTGGTTTTGTCAAGGTTTTCTTCTGTGTCCTCCATGGTATGCCATACTGCAGGAAAAGGGGATGGGATCAGATGTAGGACTGGAACCCCTATAAGGAGGAAAATGAAATTTGGAGAAGAAATATTGGAGAAGTTCTGTTAAGCTAATTGATATGTCGCAATTTAGCAACAGTGTAAGGTAACTATGCAGTAAGTCTACTTCATAGAGGAGTGTGTGTTGCTGCAGCTTCTTTTTACCTTCTCTTTTTTTGAGGCCTGTGACTGCAGCCCATCCATTTCATTGTGTTTGCTAAAACTGGCACCTTCCTTTCCTTTGACTACTTTTCCTTTTTTTTTTTTTTTTTTTTTAAAGGCCTCTGTAATTAGTAGTTTCACTCTGATACTCGGGGTTGGGGTTTTTTTTTGAGATCCTTTGCATTGTAGTTGTTGATACAGTGTTTAGGAGCCACAGAAGGGCAGAGAACCCACTGCAGCTCCCCAGAGTGAAAACTGATCACCATGTTCTTGTGACAGTGTTAAGACTGAGCACTTTTTCCAGCATTTTTTAGTCCTCTCCATAAATGGTAAAATAGGGTGTGTGTATTTTTAGTCAGATAAAAGAACTTCCACTTGAAAGAATCTGTATCACCATATATATTATATATCTATTTATCTATCTCAAGCCACCCATTACATACTGCAACTTACAGGTAAAAAAGGAGTTAAATCAGTCTTCCTGATCACTTTTTAAGGGGAGCATTGTTTCTCTCCAGCCTCTTTCCTGTTATAGTGCTTTTCCCCTCTCATTTTTCAGCTTCATACCACTAAGGAATCTGTTTTCTTCACTAGCTGTTAATCATCTTACTAGAAAAGCTCTTGAGGTGTAGTCATTGTTTTTTCCCTATCAACTTTTACCAGAAACCCATGTAGGATTTTTGATATCCCTGGATGTGCATATGATGACTCTTGGTTTCGTTGGACCTGGGCCCTGCCTTGGTGTGAAAAATGAAAGATGCACGGAGTTGAAAAGCTATTGAGCAGGAGACAGTAACCATAGCAGATGAATAGAGCACTCACTTAGAAGTGGAGAGGAGCAGCTGCTCTAGTACCTGCTTGCAGAGCTGTATGCACATTTTACATTCCTTGGTAAGTAACAAGAGCATAAGCAGTGGTGAAATTAGGGGCTGGATGTGAAGGTACCTCCCTCCCTTCCTAGGTAGATACTCTCTTCATTGAACTGTGACATTCCTTTTAGGTTACCCTTCTCTACATTCCTTTTTGGTTAACCCTTCTCTAGCAATATGACACCTGTAGTCCTTGCTGTACAGTGGAAAACTTCAGTCAAAAGAGTTTACTATATCTACTACCCTTCTTTGGCCCACCTTAGTTCTGAAGGTGCTCTGCTGAGCTCTTGAACCGAGAAGGTCATCAAATCCATGTCTTGAACTTGGACAAATGCTTTAATCATTGATCTGTAGCTTGACAAGTTGGCAGCAGTAGTACAACTGCTTTCCCTTTCTTTGTTTGTGTCCCAAAGGAGAAACATGAACACAAAGTCAGACACTGTGGTGTAGGTGTCTGCCAGGAGAAATGCTTGGGTAGAAAATCCCAGTTGCAGGTATGTGCCTAATTCCAGGAGGGATTTCAGGCATATTGTGTCCTTTGATATTTCTGCTGGCTACTCTGTGTACCTTTCCCACCCCTCAAACTGACGACTGTGAAATCTCCATTCTCTTTAGGGAATGAAGATGTCTAATTTGAGTATGAGTTTTTGCAGGAGTCGGTGCCTTCAAATTTAAACAACAGTAATAGTGCGTGTTACTATAACTTTGACAGCTTTAGAGATTTTTTTCTAGTCTTTGAAGATACAACCCTTGAGCGTTTCACTGCTCCTAGAAATAGCAGCTAGCTTGTTAGCATGGCATGTGGTGATATCCCACTGGATCAGAGTTGTCTCTCTTTGTAGGACGTTACTGGTGGCAGAAATTTCCATTTTCTCTGTACCACTGGAGCTGTGCTCATGCAAAATAATGATGGATATGTTTTATCACTACTTTTGTTTGGGTATGTTTTTCAAAGCTGTGGTTCTTAGCCTGCGTAAAGTTGAATTTGGAAGCCTCAGGTTCAGGCAACTAAGCTTGACAAACAGGATTATATGCACTTGCTCATTCATTAAATGATGCGTTTGTTACTGAATTTGTTGTGTGTGTGTGTAAATATATACATATATATATACATACACACACACTTCATAAGAGCTTCTGGTACCTCTTAATAAAAACGGAATGTGGTCATCTTCAACCAAGCCTCGATGTAAAGTAGTCTGGAAATACTGACTTTCAGCAACGTGATCCTTCAGCAGATTCATGTTGTGTAGCTCTTGCTCTGTAATTCACAATGAAAGTGATTATTCCAACTTCTGGACAATATAATGTTAGCACATTTGAATTATTCTTTCTCTTACATGGAAGCTTTTTCCATCAAAGAGGAAAAAGGAGTTGGTGACTGTCTTTTGTATTTGTTTAGTACTTAGGAGACCTCAAGAGCAGTGCTATTGCTGTCTTTTTACAGAAGTGAGAACTAAAACACAGAAGCAAAACAGTTCCCAAGAGTTGCAGAGTGACAGTCAGAATCTGTTTCATGGCTTCCAAGTGTCTAGGAATCTTCCTCAGTTATTTTATTAATTAAATTTTAAAATCTTTGTATAGGTTTAAGATGCACCAAATTTAACATTTACAATACTAAATATTATTACTGTAAAACAGAAAACTAATCTAAAAATCTGATTTACGAGACTTAATACATGCAGAAACTACACACTAAATTTTGAAATTAATCAAAACCCCATACCCATCTCCTTACCAATTGCCTGAAGCCTCTCAAACCATCGAACAGTGTTAGGAAAATAATTGGGAAAGACTGGGTTTGGTGCACCAATTAAATCCAGTAGTACAAGCAGGTCCTACAGAAGAAAGAGTTTTTAATACAGAATTATTTACATTACTACAACATCAGCAGCAGCAATGAAACCTCTTGGTTCCTGTACAGGTCATGACTAGCTCTGGACAAAGATCTGTCTTTTCTACCATGGTGTTTGAGAAGAACTCATTAGCAGAAACTGATTCCAGTCTGCTGCATTTTGCTGTCTTTCCAAGGAGGAAAAAGGTAGGCTGTTTCTCTAATCCTTAAGCTGAAGCAGACTGCATTGCTTTGGTTGCAGTTTGTGTCTTATATCCCTTTAAAAGAAAAACTGGTAGGTGGAGAGAAAGAAGAGGAAATTGCTTCTTCCCCAGAGAACAACAAAGTCTGTCAAGGGAAAGACATTTTATGAGTCACAAGATACAGTGACAGAAGAAAAGTGTCTCAGCAGTGAGTAGGGAAACTAGAAGGCAGTAGGAAGAAGGAAGCAGACAACCAGAATGTTAACAGGAATCAAAGGGAAACAGCTTGCTGTAGCATAATGCTGATCTAGGAGAGCTTTGTTCATAGACTGATACTATGTCTGTGCTCTTTCCTAATCACTTTGAATTATCACTCTTGAAGAAGGTGGGTAGCCTAGTTTATCTTCTAATAAATTCATGTGTTTTGATTTTTCTATGACTCTTCCTCATATTGGCATGGAGAAGGTCTGTCTAAACAGGTTTGCCTGAAAAGCTCTTGCCAACGAACTATTTCATCACGTCATAAAATTTCCACAACCCTGCTTCTTCCTTTAACTTTGGTGGGGTTCATGGTTTTGTGGGAATTACGAATTAAATATTTTAAAAATGTAATTTACTATTACTCATGAGGGAGGTGAAAGCCACTTACTATGCCCTGCAGCTGATTTGTGGTTGTTGAACCAGGTGGATGTGGAGTAGATACCATTTTTTGAGCTAAGTGTTGAGATCCATAGAGGGAATCAGAAGGGGACCACCGGACAAAGGCTTCTTCTCCATCAAAAAATATAAGCTGAAGTGAAAGGTCTGGTCTTGATGTTGAGCTCGTCTGTTGGAGGAAGTTAAAAGTAACATAACTGATTCTGGCCAGAACATTAAATAAAGGATAAATACTGTAGTCAAATAAGCAACATCGGTAGGGGTCTGTTTTCAAGGTATCCTATGCAAACCTTCCTCTGGCTGTTAAACACACATTATGGTGTCATAGTGGTAGTGATCAGTCATTATTATTTATCTAGTACAGTGATACATTCTCCAGTCTGGTATCATTTTACTTCTGGTTAGAAGATTCATTTCTGACTTTAGTGGGCATGAGCTGAGTATGTTGAGATCTGCAAAACAGGTAGCAGAAACATCTCAAATAATGAGGAGACATGTCAGCAACAACACCTGATGTGTTAGTATTATTACTTGATAGCACCACAAAGGACTAATATCTCTGCTACAGTTTTGCATCAGTGGAGGTGAATTACGTATTTGTAAATTTGATGGTTCTTTGAGGGACAATGAGCAGTCAGTCATGAGAAGAATGACCATTTCTTTTCTTTCAAGGGGAATTGCAACCAGTGATGCAACTTTACCCTAAAAAAAAAAAAAAAGCATGGAGAGTAGCATAGATACGCCCTTCCCTTTCAACAACCAAAAATTCTCAGTTTTTACTACTGTGATATATATATGATTAATGTATTAAAGGTCACAAAGGCAACATCTGTGTGAAATTTATTCCCCATGTAGAAGAGGCCTTTTTTCTCTCTCTGTTTACTAACTGAAGCCTTGTTTGCACTGGCAGTATTTCCTAATAATCTACAACATGGCTAAACCAGGTTCAGTTTCACTATATGAACAGTTTTGGGAACTGTACTCTTGGCAGTTGCTATAAATATTTTAACCCCTCTATGAATAAATGCTACTTCAAATAAAGTTGCATGATGTGGTTAAAAAGGTGGGGTCACTGGCAACAGTCATGTCCTGTATAGGCTACAACTCCCAGCTAGCTGGAGCTGATCCAATATAAACAGTGGTGGAAAACTTCTATGAAATGTTGCTTATGCGGGCAAGATGATATTGATTATGCTCACAGTGATATATGGATTTCACTAATGGTAATGCTTTGCTGGCCTTTGTCCTTTGCACAGGACAGAGCTCTTTTGATAGCAGTCATTTTCCATTACATTCTGGAGGAAACTGCATTAATGCCATTTGAATTTTAGAAAGTAACATTTGTACTGTTTAACATGTTCTCAGGATGCAATAACATAGACATGTCTTTGCCCTTTAATTTTAAACTTACTCTATATAACTGGAAAAACATCAAGATAAAAATCACAGCTTCAAGTCAAAGTATAAATAGATTTGGCCAAAAACATAACAAAGTCTGTTATGCTACTACGAGCAGAGCAAAAAGGTCATAGCTAATGTATTAAGCAGATGGATCCCAAAGTATATTTTCTTAACAGACTGTACAAATGGCAGCCTGTGCAAAGTAATTAGATAGTCTTTTGTCAAATGCTGTTATCTTACACGATAGAACAATTTAATAAAAAAATGATGTATTACTTGTGAAAAATTGCAGTCTTTAAGTCTGTCTGCGGGTTGTTTCATACATTAACCATCAAGCAAATTTATTCTAAATGAAGCTTCTCAATCAAAGCATATGTATTACAGGACTGCTTTGTTTTGTGATTAAAAACACTGGTGTATTCTTAATCTTCTAATTCTTAAATATTCTTATGTCAGAAGGCACTAAATTGGTTTCTGGAAAAACTGCTGACAAGTAATCTTAATGCCTAAACTGGGTGTATTCCTCCCACTTTGTGAAGCATTTGAGAGACCTTTTCCCGTGAAAGCTGTTAGTGTATGCATATTCTCCTGTAAATACTGAACCAGTAGATGGCACTCACGAATCTGAAAATTACAAGATTGTAAGATTACAGAGTTAGTAGCATCAAGATTTTTGTGCCTAGCAATGGCAGCACTTTGAAGCAGATTTTCATAGCATAGGTGACACAGACTGGTAATATACTATTACTTGACTGTTCTCCTGTACTCAGTCATCACTTGTTTCATAAACTCTTCAAATTGATGATGGAAAACAAGAAGAAAAGCTTGAAATTGTTATGGGATGGAGGGACGTGAGCATAACTTTCCTGCACAGCAATTAGTTCATCCGTCTCCCAAAACAGAATGCAAGTGAGAGATTTTAAAAAAGTAAGATTCAAAAAGCAACAAAACTTTGTCAATGAGCCTAAAAGTTACTGGATATGATCAGAACTTCTGAGTAGGGTTCTGTGCCTTTTTGATAGTCAGATTACATCTCACCAAGTCTATAACGTATGTATTATGTATAAACTGTTATTTTTATATAGTGTATATTTATTGGATAATTTTTTATAGCCACCTTTTGCATAAGAAGTTTTAATGTGATTATGTACCCTAAAGTAGTAGATACAGATCTCTGTTCTGTTCTTCATGAAGTCAGTGGGAGTTTAACTACAGGCACAGCAATCGGAGAATCAGGCACACAGTCTATGGGAGAGAACATGCAAGTGCCTTAAGGCCTGTTGCTGTTGCAAAACCAAATGAAAATGAAACAAGCAAGCTACCTTGATTAACTGCAGCTTGTTATCCAGGGCACGTGCCAGCTCCAGTATCATTGCACAAGGCACAGCTGAATCTGTTGCTCCTATAAACACTCTCTCCTGCCATTGTTGTCCAAAGAATTTTGAGTCGTAGTGGCAAGCAAGAACTAGATGGCGTTTTGCAGAGGGGTTGAGAGTGCTGATAATATTTGAAAATGTTTGATATCCATATGGTGTATATCTCTGAAATGTATCTTCTTCAATTTCCCAACCAGCCTGTAATCTTTGAAGACGGTGCTTGATATGCTGCAATTAAACAAAAAACCAAAACCCCAAATCAGATTAATGTTGCTTCCTTCAGAAATGTGTTGCAGACAAATTGTCATTAGCTAACTAATAGTGGCATTTAAAATTGCCATGAATTTACAGAAATAAGCTTAAGAGATAAATTTTATAGCAAAAAAATATAATGTCACTATATAAGATAAGCAACATCTTTGCTACCTTTGCCTTTGACTGGCTTATTTGCTTTTCATTTCTCACTTTTGTCTCTTCTCTTTGGAGTCTGAAGGTGCTTTGAATGACTGCCCATTAATATAACATATTAAGACCTTGATCTCTGAAGTTTTGAGGCTGGTGTTTTTTTCAGGTGTACCCAGGACAGATTTAACATTTACCTCTTCAAATCTAAACTTAGTTGTGCCTGTAAATTAAATGTCAGAACTGGCTGCAGAGGACTTGGTGTGGCTATTTTGACAATTACCACACTCAGATGCCACAGCAGTATATAAAAAAACCTGCTGGTGTGTTTGTTTGGAGTGGAGGGTTTGGGGTGTTTTCAGTTTTCTTAGCTTCTATGAGCAATCTGCCTTTCAAGTGACAAAAGTTGTTTGTAAGGCTGTAAGAGACAGACTGATCCCTGTAAAGAATTAAACATTTCAGAACAAAATTTTAAAATTTAAATCCTGTAAGTGTAGCTCACATAAAGATAAAAAGACAGTGCTTCCATAAAAGAATCACAGAAGCGTCTAGGTTGGAAAAGACCTTGAAGATCATCCAGTCCAACCATTAACCTAACACTGACAGTTCCCAACTACACCATATCCCTCAGTGCTATGTCGAGCCGACTCTTAAACACCTCCAGGGATGGGGACTCCACCACCTCCCTGGGCAGCCCATTCCAACGCCCAACAACCCCTTCTGGAAAGAAATGATTCCTTATATCCAGTCTAAACCTTCCCTGGCACAACTTGAGGCCATTACCTCTTGTCCTATCGCTTGTTACTTGGTTAAAGCGACTCATCCCCATGTCCCTGCAACCTCCTTTCAGGGAGCTGTAGAGGGTGATGAGGTCTCCCCTCAGCCTCCTCTTCTCCAGACTAAACACCCCCAGTTCCCTCAGCCGCTCCTCGTACGACCTGTGCTCCAGACCCTGCACCAGCTTCGTTGCCCTTCTCTGGACACGCTCGAGTCATTCAATGTCCTTTTTGTAGTGAGGGGCCCAAAACTGAACACAGGAATCGAGGGGCGGCCTCCCCAGTGCTGAGTACAGGGGTAAGATCCCTTCCCTGTCCCTGCTGGCCACGCTATTGCTGACACAAGCCAGGATGACATTGGCTTTCTTGGCCACCTGGGCACACTGCTGGCTCCTGTTCAGCTGGCTGTCAATCAACACCCCCAGGTCCCTCTCTGACTGGCAGCTCTCCAGCCACTCCTCCCCAAGCCTGTAGCGCTGCTGGGGGTTGTTGTGGCCAAAGTGACAGGAGAATGCTGTGGGAAACTGTGTCAAAGGACTTACTAAAGTCAAGGTAGACAACATCCACAGCCTTTCCCTCATCCAATAAGCAGGTTGCCTTGTCACAGAAGGAGATCAGGTTTGTCAGGCAGGACTTGCCTTTCATAAACCCATGCTGACTAGGTCTGATCCCCTGGTTGTCCAGTATATGACTTTTAATAGCACTCGAGATGACCTGCTCCATGACTTCCCTGGCACCGAGGTCAGACTGACAGGTCTATAGTTTCCTGCATTGTCCTTTCTGCCTTTCTTGTAGATGGGTGTCACATTTGCCACCCTCCAGTCCAACTGGACCTCCGCAGTTAGCCATGACTTCAGGTAGATCATGGACAGCAGCTTGGTGAGCACGTCTGCCAACTCCCTCAGCACCCTTGGGTGTAACCCATCCAGTCCCACAGACTTGTGTGCATCCAAGTGGTGCAGCAGGTCTCTGACCACGTCCTCTTCAACTGTGCTGACCTCAGTCTGCTTCCCCTCCCCATCTCCCAGCGCATGAGGCTGGGTGTCCGGGGAACAGCCAGTTCCACTGCTAAAGACTGAGGCAAAGTAGGCGTTGAGCACCTCAGCCTTTTTCTCATCCTTAGTTACCATGTTTCCCTCTGCATCCAGTAAGGGAGGGAGATTTTTCCCTAATCCTCCTTTTGCAGTTAATGAATTTATAGAAACATTTTTCTGTTATCCTTAACAGCTGTAGCCAAGTTGAGCTCTAGCTGTGCTTTGGCTCTCCTAATGTTCTCCCTGCATAACTTCACTATGACTTTATAGTCTTCATGAGAGACCTGCCCCCTCTTCCAAAGGCAATAGATTCCCCTTTTGTTCTTGAGATCCAGCCAAATGTCCCTGTTTAGCCAGGCCGGTCTCCTTCCCTGCCTGCTTGTTTTTCAGCACATGGGAACAGCCTGCTCCTGTGCCTTTAACACTTCTCTCTTGAAGTATGTCCAGCCTTCCTGGACTCCCCTGTCCCTTCAGGGCAGCCTCCCAAGGGATTTTGTTAACCAGTCTTTTAAACAGGTCAAAGTTTTCCCTCCAGAAGTCCAAGGTGGCAGTTTTACTAACCCCTCTGTTTCTCCAAGGATTGAAAACTCAATCATCTCATGATCACTGCACTCTAGATGGCCTCCAACTTTTACTTTCCCCACCAGCTCTTCCCTGTTCACAAGAAGCAGGTCCATGGGGGCACCTTCCTTCGTCGGCTCAGTCACCAGCTGTGTGAGGAAGTTATCCTCCACACATTCCAGGAACCTCCTGGATTGTTCCCTCTTTGCTGTGCTGTGTTCCCAGCAGGTATCTGTGAGGTTAAAGTCCCCACAATAACAACGGCAAGTGACTGCGAGATTTCTCCCAACTGTTTATAGAAAGCTTCATCCACCTCACCGCTTTGGTTGGGGAGTCTATAAAGGACTCCCACAGCAAGATCTGCTTTATTGGCCCTTAACCTAATCCAAACACTCTAAACCCCATTATCACTCAATAAAGAGATCATTCATTTTTAGTATCTTCCTACCTAAAGAGAATACTTCTAACAACCCTAGTTATACTTAGTACAGAGTTCTGTCTAACTCTTATTAGAGGGCCATCTCTGTTGAGCATCTTATTTTTATGGGTCCCTAGAGTGCTTCTTCAAGGCAGATTCCTCTCTCTTTAAATAAACATTAGGAAAAGCCTCTAAGGGGAAAAAACAAAATAGACTTTAAAGCCTTGTCCTGCTCTTGGTGAAGTCAGTGGGAATATTGCCATAAATTTTAGCACTAGAACAAACTTCCATTTTGTTTGTGGTCACCCTCTGAAAGCTTTTACGGCATTGTATGGTCTATCCGCTATCTGTAGGCAGAGCAAAGGACATCTGTTATGGATTAAGGGGAATATATAAGCCTGGATGGAGTTTCCAGTGTGCATTAGCCGTGACTGGCACTTGCCTTCTGCCTTAAAGGAGTTTGATACTTTTTCTGTGTCTTAACAAAGAAATGTCATACATTTCACACTCCATTGTGCTTTGACAATGGAGGGTTCTTCTTTTTTTCCTTTAGTGGGGGTCTACTTTAGTACATGCTGTTACCTTGTAACAGGATGGTCCTATTTTGAACATGATTTGTGGTTTTCTAGCCTAGGCTCAGCTAGTTTTTTGTTTTTCTTACTTTTTCCCCTTTCATTTGGCTGTCTTCCAGGGTATCACTGAAGAAACCACAAAACTAAATCTACAGAGACGTATGCGTGCACGTGCACGTGCGCGCACACACACACAAAGCATAAAAAAAGCTGCATTTTCCAGTCTATCACTTGCATAGTGGCTAACAGACTTACTGTTGTTAGGGCTATCTTGGAGCTGTTGAGTCATTGCCTAAAGGGTAGATGAAGGCTAGTGAGATGTTATGAATGTTTTCTAGTAAACTCAGCTGTACCACTGGTTTAGTCTCCCGCTTGGTTAATGTAATCCGGAGCTATCATGGCACAGAGTCCTGAAGATGCCCACACCAAGTGTGCAGAGCAGAGGTGCGGACAGGACAGCGACCCAGTCATGTGGTAACTCCTTGTGGCTCAAATACAATGTGCTGGAACTTTTACTGGCTTGGGGCCAGGTGCAGTGGGGATACACTAGCCCAGTATTAACACACTGCTGAGTCTGGGCCAGTGGAGCTAGCGTGGTACTGGGACCAGTGCTGCACTTTGTCATGTTGACCATTTCTTCTGCCTGCCCGTTCAGGCCCCTCTGATCCCTTTCGGGGAGTGTCAATACTCTCATTGGAAAGAACACAACAGCGGAGTGTAACAGCACAGGACCTCTCCAGAAAAAGGCTGGGGGGGTGTAACTTATTTCATCCCTGTGTATGGTCCCAGGAGGTTTGAACCAGTGACCAGAAACTGCTCATGTGAGGGAAAGGACAACAGCTGTGTTGTACTTTGGGTGCCAAACCTGAGGCAAGCTTTTTAATTTTAAATGTAAATTTAAAAACACATACTTTTTTTTTCATCATGCTATGCAGCCCTGGGAAATGGTGTCAGCTAAAGTACAAGCTGTGTCATGTAGGCTCTATGCAGTCTAGTACTTGAACAATGATAGAGTTCATCCTACCGAATGAAAGGAATGTGTCTGTCCCTTTAGTGGTCACTAATGGTGCTACCAGAATATAAATAATGGATGTTCTTAGAGGCTTTCAGGAAATGTTGCCTTACCTGTCGTACGATATAATTTCCTGGTGACCCTGAGTATCTTTCTATCAGGATAGGGCGCAAATCATTCTCCCACATTTCAGAAACATCTGTGTTTGCTGCAACTTTTTGAATAGCATCAGAATGTAAAATTCTTGGTTGGTGAGAATACTGCAGAAGGGAGAAAAAGGAAAGATTGTTATAACTATTATTAGACCTTTTTAACCATATTTTTTTTTCAGAATTACGATAAATGTGATATATTGTGCTACTTTGATTTACTGACAATAAAAAGTAATTTTTAAAAAAACTTTTCTCTCAAAAATGATCCACATCTTTAAGTTCTGTGGCTCCTGTATCTTTGATTTCCATGAAAAATACTCTAGTATTAGAAACATGGGAGAAAATTTTACCTACCAACTAACTGTAAAAATTCAACCCGTGATTGGGTTCTCTCTTGTCTAATGTCTTAACTACATACATACAGTCATGTCTGCAACCATGCCACCTTTAAATGGGGTTTCCATTGAAACAAACACCAAAAGCTTTGTTTTTAATAGCAATAATATTTAGCTTTCTGCTGTGTCTACATTATGAGGTGGAGTACTGCAAAGAAATGCATGAACTAGCTCAGTCCCAGAAAGAGTGAAGCTGTGTCACTGTGGCCTGTCCACAGCGACGGTATTGGTGTGACTGCATAGCATGGTGTGGCTCATCTGGGGCAAGCTGGTGCATACATCAGCTTTGTGACTCACGGGTTAACCTCAAAATTGGCAGCTTGTCTCCTGTGACAAGAGCAGCTACCTCCCAAGTGGTTGCTTTTGTTGCCTAAGCACCGACTTGTAGAGCTGTTTCAGGTGACCTAGAATACTTGAGACATCCTCATGGGCTGGCAAATGCATGTCTCTGAGGTGCAAGAGCCTTGTGCTGTTCTGGAGTGGTAGAGAGATCCCCAGCTGAGATCCCCAAGGACATTACAAATGCCCCTTTTAGGCACCTGATTTGAACCTATCCATTCTCTAGCAATTATCTCCTCAGGAACTTCCTGTGCCACTCCTGTTTTTATAGGTTGCTATTTTAGGCACTATCATAGGATGCTCCTATCATATCCATTCCTTATTTCTATCATAAGGTCTTCCCTCTACTCCTCTCTTTCTCCCACTGAAAAATCCTGGTCTGTTTATTTGTTCTTTGATCAGAACTGCCTTACATGAATGATCAGATTTGCTGTCCTTCAGTTTACCCTGTCTGCCAGATGGGGAAAGGGAGGGAAACCAGAACATGAATGCACCACAGCTTATAGTGTAGGTTAATGATACTTTATATTTTATTCTTCTCCTTTCTTCAAACTGTTTAACAACTGACTAGCTTTTGGGCTGCTGCTGCAGCATCAAACTGACATTTTTGTAGATGTATTTAACTCCATCATTGTGTATGTTAACAAAAAATAATCATTCCTCCTCCTTTCCCACTCACTCATGTGTGCCATTTCACATTTGTCTGAAATGATTGCTGAAACTCATTACCTGGCCAGAAAGAATACTGACCCTGAGATCTTCTGCAGTCCTGTATAATAACCTATCTTAATTATCCTGACTGATTAATATTGTTTAAAAATGTTTTGCCTCACTATTTGTCTCCTTTTCTACTTCATTTGTGTGTGTGCTGAGCAAAGTAGGCACAAGCACAAATATTTTCTAGACTTCACTGTAAACATTTAATTCTATCCTTCTCTCTCTTCCTAGCTGTTTATCTGTGTGTGGACCTTTCCTCTAATTCCACTTCAGTTTACTAGTGAAATTAAGTAGAGGGGAGACACAAAAACACTGAATCCTCTAATGCTAATTCTAATATAGTGTTTAAAGATTAATTTTAAGACTAAAAGGACACCAAATTTTAGTTAACATTTTTGATGATAGTAAATATAGACGATTAAAGAAAAACTGCATTTCATCTCATATGAAGAAGAATTTATACAAGTTTGGAAACTGTATTGACATCAACTGTCTTTTGAAAGACTAGAAGTTTAATACAGTGGAATTTACACTAGTTTAGAAAAGGCACAGGTGAGAAAATGTCAGGAAGCTGCTCTGTTTAGGAGGCACAGGCTATAAGATGTGAGAGGAAAGATAGAGCTATGTACTTCAGAAGAGTGTAGGAGGAGAATTTAATTAAGGAAGTTCAGAAAATATGCCTTCAGTTGAACTAGTGAAGGGCTCAATTAGAGTGTGGAATAGTCTTGCTTCTAACTGTAGAGCGTGCCTGGTAATTGGGGTCATTGAATCACTTTGCAAAGAAACATTATTATTATTATTATTATTATTATTATTATTATTATTATTATTATTATTATAGTACAAAAACACTTAAGAAGAGAGGAATAAATTCCCATTTCTAATAATGGAGGTATCTTCAAATTTGAGAAGTGAAAGGAATTACTTAAGTGGTTATGAAATAAAAGAGAAGTAGAATGAGATCTGTAGGTGACTCATTCCTTACAGCATTGGTCAACCTCCATTTTCTCCATGGCCACAGCAGGGAGGCAGAGCAATGTATTTATGGTAGGGCTATCGCTAAACCTTTTGTACTAAGCTGCATAAAGCAGCAAGACTTCAACTTCTACAAGTAGCCCACACTTACCTGTTGATTTTGGTACATTTCAGCTCAGTGCCAATGGAAGTTAGCTTCTAAGAACTCTTAAGCTTAGGAACTGGTTCCTCCTCCTCAGTGAGAGAAGGAGGGGAAGACTGTACATTGTAAGACTTTCAACTTCTGGCTGACACATCCCTTTAGGCAGAAGGAACATGAGTTGTCAAGGGACAAGAATTTGATGAGAAAGAGGAAGTGGTTCTTGCTTAGTGTATGCATGAACACGGACGTTCAGACACTATGGTTCTGTGGTCAGATGATACTACTTACATCATTGTCAAGTAGATTGACTAGTTGGAATGGAATGGGCTAAAGAGTGTATTGGTGTAGCTCAAGGGGGGTGAAAAAAGCACCGAGGCTACATGCTTATACATTGACTACACTGGAACAGGTTGCCCAGAGAAGCTGTGGCTGTCCCCTCCCTGGAAATGTTCAAGGCCAGGCTGGACGGGGCTTTGAGCAACCTGGTCTAGTGGAAGGTGTCCCTGCCCATGGCAGGGGGGTTGGAACTAGATGGTCTTTAAGGTCCCCTCCAACCCAAACCATTCCATGGTTCTATGATTTAGCCTCACATATTCTTATATATGTACATATAGATGTATTATCTTACAGATATGTAGTCTGTACATAAGATTATATTGTAAGATACAGTGAACAAAACAGAATGACAAAGTTTCTTTGTTAAAAAACAACAACCAACCCAACACTTATTTGAATGGGGAATGAATAAAATAAGGAGAAAGGGAATGACTAAGGGGATGTGAGTGGAAAGGCATGATGGAAGCTTCCTTTTGCCAGTTTGTCCTGGACTCTGATCTATTAGTGAAGAGAACGGTGCACTGGATTAGTGGTGTTCAGTCCATTCTGGCTGAAGTTTGAGTTCATCTGGGGATGGGCCCTAGAAGTATATTTTCCATTTGGAAATACCTGAACCCTTTAATTGACTACAACTGCAAATTAGCTACAATTTGCAGTTGTATGTTCTCTCATGTTCTGTGTCATTTAGTTCTTCACAAAGAAACTATGTCAGTGCTTCGTAATCAACCACGAAGTTGTTACACAGAGATGTCAGGGGTTTACTGCTTATTACTGTTTCATTAAACTGCTTTTTTCCACCAGTTCACACAACACTGAATTAAAAACAATATAGTATGGCTCTACGGCATATTAGAGATTATATCCTTTCAAAACAATTTCGCAGTAGCTATCAACACCATCCCTACTGGTTTCATCTGGCTAAATGTGTGTGCATCACGGCTGGAAGAGCTGTTTGTTTTCTCAAACCAAGACACCGTTCCCCGAATCACCGTCGTCACGCTGCAACCTGGACTACAGTTGAGTGATCTATGAGTGTCACTTCGGAGGTTGATCCCTCTCATCCCGTTTGGGTTTGCCCTCAAATTCACTCGCTGCCCCTGGCAGATCTTCCGCGCCCGCTGCCCGCTCCTCGGCGGTGTGACGGGCATCGCCGACGCGCCCGACGTGTGCGGAGGCCCCGCTCCGTGCAGCCGTGGCCGGGGGGCGCGGGCAGCCATGTTGTCCCTCCTCACCTGCGCGCCCTC